GTCAGGCACAGGCCCGGGTGTGGGCCTCATCCCAGTGTGGGGCGTGCAGGAGCAGCCGATCCATGATCCCATCATTGATGCTTCTCTCTCTCCCCTTTCTCTCTGAAAAGCAATAAAAGTATATATTTTTAAAAACTGGGCATCTCACCTAAATACTTACCATTCCGTTAGTGCACACAATGAGGTTCCTGGGCAGCTTAACCCAAGAACTGCTGCTTCTGATTTTCACTGAGCCCCTGACTTTAGTTTCTTAGCGGAGAGGCAAAGGCCAGATTAGAGCAGAAGAGAAGACGCCAGAGCCTTCATCTAGACAACACTGTGGCCTGTTCCTGCTTTAACGCTTCCCGTGCTGATACATGGATTCTGTGTGTGTGTGTGTGTGTAGGAGCCCTCGGATGTCGTCAACGCCCTGAGTCTCCTCGTGAACATCAGCCTGGCCCACCCCGGCACCAGCCCCGCCCTGGAGGCCTACTCGGACACGGCCAAGGTCTTCAGTGTGAGTGGGGTTGGCCCTCCTGGCATCCAGACCCGCCAGCAGGTTCACCGTGGCTGCTGTGGGAAAGACACTTAGCACGTGGCCTTTAACCTGTTCATTCTCTAGATGAAATACCGTGACTGCGTGCGCAGGCCACTAGCATGTAAGATCCACGCAGCCCAAGCTTTCATGTTCCTCGTTCACTGCGCTAGGCCCGCCCGGCCCGTGAGCGGTGCCGCCCTCCGCAGGGCCCACGGGTGTTTGTGGGAGAAATAAGTAACAACCCAGCAAACGCCGTGTGCTCACTGCCCACTTAATAGAGTGTTACCCCAACCTGTGACTCCCCTGTACACTCCCACCCCCACACTCCTCTTGCTCCCCCCGCCAGGCACCCCCTTGAGCTTTGCATTGATCACTGCTTCCCTCTCGGATGTTGCTAGGCGTGTATATAGTCCAGAAGCGTGGCTTGGTTTGGGCTGGTTCTGAGCGCCATGTAGACGGAATGACGCTGTGCGTGTTCGTCCAGATTGGCTCTCCTAAGTGCCAGCGTCTGGGCTTCTTTCCTCCTGTAGATCCCGTTCCACAAAGACTGTGGGGACGACGGCGTGTGCATCTCCGACCTGGTGCTTGAGGTCCGCCAGCTGCCAGCTGCTCAGTAAGTTCCACTGTAAAGCTCCGTGTGGCTCAGAGGGTTGGGCATTGTGCTGTGCACCCAAAGGTGGCGGGTTCGATTCACGATCAGGCACATACCTAGGTTGAGGGTTCAATCCTGATCTGGGCACTTACAGGAGGCAACCAATTGAGGTTTCTCTCTCACATTGATGTTTCTTTCTCTCCCTCTCTCTTGCTCTTCCTTCCTCTCTCTAAAATAAAAAAAAGAATGTAAAGCCTAGTGTAAAATCCTATCTAATAAAAGAGAAACATGGTAATTAGCGTACAACCGCTACCCTTCCCATTGGCTAATCAGGGCGATATGCAAATTAACTGCCAGCCAAGATGGCGGCCGGCAGCCAGGCAGCTGGAAGCGAACATGAGGCTTGCTTGCTTCAGTGACGGAGGACTCCAACGTTCCCCGCCTGCCTTGCCGGCCTCTGAGCTGGCAGTTTGAAACATTGTAACAAATATAGAAGCTAAACAAAACCCCAGAAACCAGCTTTCAGCCGGCCGGGATCTCAGAGCTGGAGATGATACAGTGTTTCGATTATAGAACCGAAAAAACCCAGATACCTGCTTTCAGCAGCAGAGGCCTTGGCCCAGAATAAAAGAAAAAAAGAAAAAAAGGAGCGGTTGGGAGCTTCAGTCACCCACCAGCCTGAAAACAGCCCTCAGCCCCTCACCCAGACTGGCCAGGCACCCCAGTGGGGACCCCCACCCTGAAGGGTGTGTGACCAGCTGCAAACAGCCATCATCCCCTCATCCAGGCTGGCCAGGCACCCCAGTGGGAACCCCCACCCTGATCCAGGACACCCTTCAGCGCAAACCAGCCAGCCCCCACCCGTGCACCAGGCCTCTATTCTATATAGTAAAAGGGTAATATGCCTCCCAGCACCAGGATCAGCGGAGCCGCGAGGCCTCCTGGCACCAGGCTCAGCGTGACAGGGGGCAGCGCCCAAACCCCCTGATCGCCCTGCGGCTCTGTGTGTGACAGGGGGCGGGGCCACAACCTCCCTATCCACCCTGCTCTGTTCGTGACAGGGGAAGGCGCCCCAATCCCCTGATCGGCCCTGCTCTGTGCCTGATAGGGGGGAGCTCCCCAAACCCCTGATCACCCTGCAGCTCTGTGTGTGACAGGGGAAGGCGCCCCAACCCCCTGATCAGCCCTGCTCTGTGCCTGATAGGGGGGAGCTCCCCAACCCCCTGATCGCCCTGTGGCTCTGTGTGTGACAGGGTGCAGCGCCCCAACCCCCGCCCCCCACGGGCCCTGCTCTGTGTGTGATGGGGTAGAGCCATAACCTCCCCATCGGCCCTGCCCTGAGTGTGAGAGTGGCGGCGCCCCAACCCCCTGATCGGCCCTGCTCTGTGGGTGATAGAGGGCGGCGCCCCAACCCCCTGATCCGCCCTGCTCTGTGTGTGACAGGGGGCGGTGCCCCAACTCCCCTATCGGCCCTACTCTGTGCGTGACAGGGGGGAGCTCCCCAACCCGCTGATGGGCCCTGCTCTGTGCGTGACAGGGGGCAGTGCCCCAACCCCCTGATCGGCCCTGCTCTGTGCGTGACAGGGGGTGGCGCCACAACCTCCGCATCGACCCTGCCTTGAGTGTGACAGGGGGCGGCGCCCCAACTCCCCAATTGGCCCTGCTCTGAGCCCGACCAGGGGCTGCACCTAGGGATTGGGCCTGCCCTCTGCCACCCGGGAGCAGGCCTAAGCCAGCAGGTCGTTATCTCCCGAGGGGTCCCAGACTGCGAGAGGGCACAGGCCGGGCTGAGGGAC